AATTCTAGGAGAAATGGTCATTTTGCGCAAGACTACGAAACCCAGCATTATAAGGCCGGGGTTCTTCCTGCTTCACATCATTGCCATTATAGGGCTAGAGACCACGTGGCAGGGGAGGAAATCGACCAAGATGGTGGCGTCGATCCACCTCCATTTTAGCCTTCAATACATGATCAATGCATGGTGAAAGATCAATTTCCCACCAGGACTAATGGACTCTTTCAACCTCTAAGATACTTCTTACACTCTAATGCATGGCCACCCCTTGCTTCTAATATATACACAGTTGTCTGTTTTGTTTTTGCTACTGGTTTGATAACAGTATCTTGTACTGACTGGACTCTGTGTAACAAAATTTTATTTATACTTATTTTTTTTATCTTATATAAGTTTTCTAGGATTTGTTGGATGTTATTAGTTTGGATTTGTTGATTTATGCTGTTTAACCTATGCTAACCAAAATGGTAGTCTATTACTCAGTTTGGTTTCCTTTGACAACCTTAAGGGGTTCTGCCCTACTCCTATTCCATCCACGGAGATCATGTGACCATGTGTCAAGACAATCTACTGTAACCAAGAGGTGGTAAGACATATATTTAGGACTGTCCTGCCAGAGGAATGCTATAGATGGATGACTATTTGGAAAGAAAAAAGAGGTCCATTGGGAAGGAACATAATTTAGAAGGTCACCAAACTTGAGATGAAGGTAAATGACCACCCCAGAGGAATATTGCCATTAATGATCCTGCTACCTGAGCACAAAATGGCAGTTGGAGCTATGAAACTTCTATTTACATGCTAAACAGAATTATTCACTTACAAGCTGCACTAGAAATGATTAGTAATCAGAATGCCACAGACTTTGACCTCCTAACCACACAACAGACCCAGATGTGAGTGGCTAGCTATCAAAATTGCTTGGCATTAGATTATCTACTGGCTGAGATATATATATATATATATATATATATATATATATATATATATATATATAGAGAGAGAGAGAGAGAGAGAGAGAGAGTTCAACAGCGCAGATTGTTGCATCCAAATGATGACAATAGACAACAGTTAAGGATATAGCCAACAACACAAGAAAACTAGCAACTAGCACACGTGCTACTTCATACCTAGAAGGGCATTAAAGTTTGGGTCCCAACCATGCTTTACCAGAGAAGGTTTTCAACTCTTGGTGGATTTAAAAGCTTAACTGGTGTAGTGGGTATTCTGCTGTTAACCTGTTTATTGCTCCCATGTTTGGCTCCACTGTGCATTAAAACTATTGGGTCCACTATAGAAGCTGCTGTTGAAAGGATGACAACAACTACGGTTTTGGCATTATATAAGGCTGTAAGCCAAGATAATGGTAATAATGCTCTAAATTTATTGGATTAAATTATGGGGAGCATCATTAAAGGGGGAAATTATAATGACACCCCGTTTCTCCACAGAAAAGACTAACGTGGATTTCTCCAGAAGTCTTCACCATGGCTTATTTGGGGATTCTTAGCAAAAGAGTCTCTGAAAAAGAGTTCAATGTAGATAAACTTCCTATTTTTGTGTTGCCCTGTTTTTCTTGGCCACTGGCCGGGAAGATAACCAGCACTCCGGGTGTTCGACTTCTGCTTACTAGATTTCACAAACATATCCAGTATAATGGTTTGTAGAAATGTGCAAACAAGTCCTCTGGCCTGGGGCTGGGCTTCACAGAGATGTCTACATTTTGAAGATAAGTTACAATTGGGCTCCCTGGTAACAGCTGGCAGGGGAAGAAAGAAAGGGGAGAAGAAGTTCCCCCCTTCTCAGGTGTGGTCCTTGAAGGGTTAACTTGCTCAGAACAGTGAGAGAAAAAGCTGCTTTTATGTGAACTTCTGCAGACTGTGAACTTCTGAGCCCCTCCCCTTAATTGCTGGGTGTAAAACTCTGAGACTTCCTGAACTCGGGGTTCGGGGGATTGATTGATTACAGCCAAAGCTGTGCCCTCTGAACCTGGCTGCAGCCAAATAAAAGGGTTTCCTGGTGTCTTCGGTGCCTTGCCTCGTGTGTCCCTACAAAAAGTCCATCACCAAGAGACCACACCAACCCCAGCACCCAGCTGAGGACTCTTGCTGTCGACCTGGGTCAGTGTCCACGGGCCCCACAGCCCGTCCAGCGCACAGACACGCAGCCAGGGCGGCCTCTGTGTGGACCTGAGTGGCTTCCTGGAGGTCGCTTGGTGGGTCTTCAGCACAGGAGTCAGAGGAAACTGCTCTCCCCATGGCCAGACCACTGCCCAGCAAGGTCACAAGTTGCCAGAGGGCAGGTGACTATTGCAGTGTCACATAGGACAGAAGGTATAGGAGCCTTTCAGTTTGACTTTGATGCCTCTGCCTAAAAGTCCTCATCAAAAACTGGAAATATCCATTCTGCTTCCTGGAACCCTGCTGTGCTGCAGGCTCAGCTCCTGTCCCCAGGGATGGGGTGAGGCCCAGGGGCCTGTGCTGAGGCCACACTTGCACCCAGGCTTGGGGACCAGTGCCAGGCTGCCTTGTGCTCTGTTCCCAGCCCGGGTGCAGGGATCTCATGAGGGCAGGGTGGGCCAGGGTGGTGACACAGGTGCAAGGGTGTGTCACATGTGTCTGCAGTGTGCCTCCTGCACCAGCGCCCAGGGCTGGGCTCATTATAGTGCAAGCGTGTCCTACTCTGTGCCACGTGCCCCAGCTGTGTGGCTCCTGGGTCCCAGTGAACCAGCCTGAGATGTGACAGAGAAATGGAGCCTGCGGGAACGTGCCCTGAGCTTCCAGTGCTGGCCCATTCCTATTCTGGGCCTTTCTACCAGAGCTCCCTCAACTCCGCTGTTCATATTCATGAGACCAAGATGAAATCGTTCTCAGGCCCAGAGAAAATTAGGGCTGGCAAGGGATGGAGAGGGAGGGCTCCTGCCTGCTTCAGAAAGACCACAGGATGTTCCTCCTCTCTCCACGGTGCCTGCGGGCCTCCCATGGATGCACACAGGTGGAAACAAAGGTCTTTAGCATTTCTAAGACTATAACAATCAAGACAAGGTGCTCTCCACAGAACACTGTCCCAGCAAGGACGCATCCACCGCCAACACCTGCCTCAGGCCTCCTCCATTTTCTGTGTCCAAGAAGCTTATGTCAGTCAAGGCTGTGACCCTTGAAAACTTGCCCTTTCCTCAACCTCCTTGAAGAAGCCCATAGATGAACATGTCAAGCATCCTGTGGCTGCAGTGTTGTGCTATTCTCGAAGTTACCACTGTTCTTTGGAGAATCTCGGGTTGTTATTTGAGCTGGCTTCATCCATGGACAATCTGTTCTTGAACTCTCATGAAACTTTTTGCCTGAAAGTCCACACCCTCATTCTTGGCTATGCCGTAGGAAGTGCTGGTGTAGCTGTCCCTGCCTGGGCACTTATCTATGGAAGAGAATGTGCTGAAGAGGGAAGTCTCCAAGGATGTGATCTCTGCCTCGCTGGGCTGAGCACTGGACCTCACAGGACCTGGACAATAGCAGAGGGACTGAGCAGTGAGCACTCTGTGGAAATGCAAGGTCATGCCCAGTAGCTCTGGCCCAAGGGATAGGATCCATCCTCACTAGACATTGGCCAGTCTTGGTGAGGCCGTGGTCCTAATGTGACTCAGAGATCTGGGCAGCTGCTGGGGGGAGTCCTGGTCTGGGAATCTCCTTACATCAATGCTCTTCTAGATGCTGTTGGGGTGTTTGTGGGTCAGTTGTTCCTCCAGCTGCTGCCTCTTCTCTGGGTCAGCAGGATGAAGAAGGCGATGATGTCATTCACATAGTGCTCCCCCAGCATCCAGCTGGCAAGCTGCTGTCCCAGTGCACGTGTCCACCCAGGCGAGAGATCTTGGGGACCTCAAGTGCTCGGCCTGGAATTCCTCATTCCATTGGCCTGCAGAGAGGGAAGGGGGCCCATCAGCCAGGGGCAAAGTGAAGGTTCAGGTAAGTGAGCAAGTAAGGCCTGAGTAAGTGTCCCTCGAGGCTCCTCTCTAAGCCTCATCTTCAACGTCTGCAAAATGGGATGAGGCTGAAAGCATCAGGCTGCTAGGGAGCATGAGTGAGAAGCTCCAGAGATTGCAGGAGGTGATATCTATGACCTGGCAGGTGGGCAGGCAGAGTACCCACACCCTCTGCTTGGCTGTGATGTGACTTGCCCCCACAGTCCCAAGCTCTGTGTAAGTTGGCTATGCCTTTCCAACCTAGCTATATGGTATTGTTTTCTCCACAATTAGATAAGGGAGTAGCACTTCAAGGAGGTGAGAAGGCAGGTCCAATAGAAGAGCTAAGAAGTGGAGGCAGGATGAACCCAGGCCTTCGATGCTCCGAAGCATGCAAGAGAAATCTTTATGCAAGACGTCTGGGGAAAGACACAGCTTCTTTCCCTGGTGAATTCCATCTCCTTCCATAATAACGTGGTTCCACCAACCTGAGCTGGCTCCAGGGAAACTATCCCAACTGGTGCTCAGAGTGGCTTCTTAAACTTTCCTGGACAATTCAGAATGGAACGCTAAACATCCAAATTACTTTTGCATCTATGTTCATCAGGGATATTGGTCTGTAGTTTCCTTTTGTCATGTTTCTTTGTCTGGCTTTGGTGTCAGAGTGAAACTGGCTTCATAGGATGAATCTGGGAGTGTTCCTTCCCTTTCTGTTTCATGGCATATTTTGAAGAAGATTGCCGTTAGTTCCTTAAAGATCAGGTAAAATTCAGCTGAGACTCCATCTGGTCCTGGGCTTTCCTTCATTGGAAGACTTTTAATTGCAGCTTCAATCTTCTTGCTTGACATGGATCTGTTTAGGCTTTCTATGACTTCTCAGTTCAATTTGGGTAGGTCACGTGTATCTAGAAATTCATCAATGACTTCTATATTTTCCAATTTATTGGAATATAAATTTTCAAAATACAGCAAAATGTGAAAGAAATGTCTGGTGGAGTGGGAGGAGGTCGTAGGAATGAGTCTGCAGAGGAAATATGGGGACAGCACTGCCCCGAAGAACATGCCGCGTAGAAAGGCGGCGACTGAGGACTGCAGCTCCGTGGTAGAGCCAGGGAGCAGGGCTGAAGTCCACCCGTGGATTGGTTCTCCATGGGGCTTGGGAAGGCCCTCCCAGGCGGGTGTGGCAGCAAGAGCAGCGTCCAGCATCCGCTTCATGCATTAACAGTAACCCCGAGGAAAGGCAGGAAGCACCAAAGAGAGTGCTGAAAATGGATTTGTTATCATGTACCTTCAGTTCTCCAAATGATCCAGATGGACAGAATGATATCTTTGGGGATCAGAATTCTCCAGTGACAAAACAATTAGGTAAAGGAAGAAAAAAACAGATTTACACCACAGGTAGTGATGAGATATCAGACATCGTTAATCGTGTTGCTCCTCAGGATGAGAAGCCAGCAAAGATCTGGCAGATGCTTTTTTGAACACTAGAAACTCCATGCTGGGCATGTGGATCGGTGCAGCTGCTATTCCTTATACTCTAAGTGTAGGGAAAGAAAAATCAAGAGTAAAAATTAGCCATACAAAGTTAAAAACACAATATCGAGAAAAAGAACTTATGAAATTAGCTGAACAATTTGATAAAAATATGGAAGAGCTAGATGTGGCTCAAGAGCAAAACAAGAGGAATCATGATTTTATCCAGGAGATTTCAGAAGCAGAGACTTCACATAATTGTAATGATTATGTACAGATGCATCCCTTACATGACATAGTTCCAATTATAGATAATGCCTTAATAAAGAAACCAATGAAAGGAAACACCAGCATATCTGTGGCAAATGATCAAAGCAACAGTCAGAAGCCATTTGACCAAAATGCTGAAGCAGCCTTTAATGCCCTTTTTGATGGTTCTACCCAGAAATGTAGTGAACGGTTAAGCCAATATCTGGCAGATGCTCTTTTGAACACTAGAAAAAATGCTTTGAAAGAGGAGAAAATCTTTATTAATGGTACTCTGGTCACTGAAAAACTGCCAAGTAAAACCCAAGATTCACTTTATCTACAGGTAGATCCTCCCATAATGACAAAATCATGCGTGACTCCCTATAGTAAAGAGCCAGAAGCTTCTAGTAAGCCCATTGGTACATTTACCACCAGTGATTTTGAGGACAATTGAGAAAAACTACTAAGTAATGAACCTTTTGTTATGCAAAATGTTGAAGCTGAACTTTTCCCTTCTAAAACTGCCCAGGTTACTGATCATAAAGGAATTTATACCTTTACTAGTGAATATGGTGGAAGTACATCAAGAACAAATAAAAGTCTAGATGCCAAGTTAGGAGATTCAGAAGTATTACCAAAACACATAACAGAGAACTAAAAGATGCTGGAAAATACAGATTTTCATCAAATCCAAATGATAAATCAAGCAAATTATCATCCACTAGAAATAAAATGAAATCTTCAAGTAAAATGGTTTTTCAAGACAAAACTCAAGATTGTGCAGTTACATTTAATCTGACAAAAGGAAAAGAAGATATCTGTATCAATTTTACTTCTAATGTAAATACTTCTGAAAAGAAGTCTGCTTTGAACACAAAACATTCTAGTGAACAAAAAATAAGCCCATTTTTGATCAGTCTTTCAAAGCACCTGTTAATATTGATCCCTTTGGCTCTTCAACTTTGGACTGTGAAGCAGTTGTTAATAAACCAGATCAGACTAATGCATCAAAGTCAGGTTCTTTCTTTGATGACTGAAATGATCCATCACTTGCCAATGAAATTTTGGAAACATGTCATTGATTAGAGACTTCTTGGGAAGCAGATAATGTAGATGATGATTTGTTGTATCAAGCATGTGATGATATTGAAAGACTAACTCAGCAACCGGACATTTTAAAGGACAACAAAACATCAGAAAGTTTACTTGAGATCAATGATAGTTCCAAACATGGAGTGAAAAATATATCTACTACATCTTAACAAGGAAGTCAGTTGGCACAATCAAATCATTTAAATCTGGGCAGCATTAAGGTGCAGACGTCCTCCTTGACAGTTGGCACACAAATAAATAAATCAGTGAAGATGGAGAAAAGGGAAATGAGTGGAAATTCTTCAGAATTTTCGGGTACTACAACAAACTTGACTATGTACTGTAAGAACTCAAATTGTCAGATGAATAATCTGCATGTGTATAGGAACAAAAGTGATGTTCCAATGCAAGTGCCCAGTTCCAAATCAATTGTGCAGGAAGTTCAAGTTGGAATGTGAATTCAAATCACGTGAGCCCAGTAATTGCTGGTAATGAGAAACTGAATACTCAGCAACTTTCCCATAGGCCACAAACAGATGAAGCACAAAGTGAGTTTAACAAAGCTGTTAGATTTTCAAAGTATACTTTTGCAAAGACAAAAAATCCTCAGGTTACTTGTCAGCTTAATCAGATTTGTATAGAAACAAGTATGTCTACTACCAAAATTACACAGGGTTTGGAGAAAAAGAAAACTGTGAACTCAATACTTGGGGAAGCTGATCAGCAGAAGTCTTTGGTGAAAATTTCTGAATCTTTGAAACAATCTTCAAAAGAGGAAGAAGAAAAAAATAGGAAATATTCCTCTGAAGAAATTCAGAGAAAAAGACAAGAAGCACTGGCTCAAAGAATGGCCAAAGCACAGGCATCACCTATAAATTCAGCTCCCACTTAATTTCTTCAATGAGATACTGGTTTGAAGACTTATAGGTTAATGATAACTCTCTGTGATAGGAAATATTTTTTTCTTGATTTCTCTGTGAGGAATTCTTATTTATATAGCATGGACTTCTACTTTATTATTTAATAAATGATTGTTTGCAATGGTAGATGAAACCTATCCTTGAGAATCTATACGAAAGTTTGGAAAAGTTAGCAATTATGGACTAAGATTATACATAGGAAACTGGTTGTATTTTCATGATTTCAGAAGAGCATCAAAAATATGTAATTACAAAAATGTGTCTTCTAATACAAAGCTTCAAATATTTTTTGTTAAATAGTCTATGGCATTTTCAGTAACTATTGCTTAAGGTTTTTATACATTTCTAATTTTTAATTAAGACTTCCATATTCCTAGGAATATGCTTGGTTTAGAAATAAAAACACTTTGGTTTAAAAAAAATTTCAAAATACTTCCTAATGATTTTCTGGATTTCTGTGGTGATATCTCCTTTATCACCTATCTCTCTCTCTCTCTCTCTCTCTCTCTCTCTCGCTCTCTCTCTCTCTCTCTTTAAATTTAGTTCTGCTCTTTTGTTTGTTAGTTTGGTTAATTTTTAAAAAATCAAACTCATTTATTTTTTCAAAGTACCAGTTCTTTTTGCATGGATCCTTTATATTGTTTTCTCATTTTCAATTTTATTAATTTCAGCTCTGATTATATTTCCTGTCTTCTAGTGGTTTAGGAAGTCTTTTGTTCTTGCTTTTCTAGGGACTTGAGGTACAACATTAAAGTATTTATTTGGAATTTTTATATTTTCTTAACATAGGCACTTGGTGCTGTAAACATTTTTCTTAGAACTTCCTTCATACTGTTGGAGAGATTTTGACAGATTGTATCTCGGTTTGCATAGTATTGCTTTTTGTGGGTTCTTTAGCCCTATCTTTCCAATGTACCCCTTGAATAAGTACTTTTACCCAAATTAAACCCTCCCAATATAGCTGCTGTAACTCTGGGTTTCCTTTGCTAAGGAACAAAGGACAGTCTCACCTATCCTCTGGCCCAAGTCCAGTTCTGTCTGACCCATTCTGACTGGGCCTCCTACACGATGCAGTCCTGTTTCTGTTGTGACAGCACAGGTGGTGTGTTTCCTCAGACTGTAAAGAGGACCCTGCATCAGGACTCCACCTAGGGCGTCATGTCCACCTTCCTCCCATGAAAGGTGAGGGGGTGATGCTGAGATGGCCCTGGGGTGTCAGTGTGGCCACAGGAGAAGGAGACCCCGAGCCCTGGGCACCCCGCTACTTCAGCCCAGCAGCCTTGAGGGTGGAAGGGGCCAGGGCGCCCCATGGCAGGGCTGCTCCAGGACAGCCTGGCCACCCACCAGACCTCCTGCTGTCCTGAGGACCCAGGGGGACCCTAGAGGAGGCGCCAGGTGCACTACCCCAGTGAGAGCCCAGGCAGGGCAGGAGGGCTGGGGTTCCAGGGGGCTGTCCTTGCCCTGCCACAGCCAACGCAGCCTGCCGTGACCTCTAGGAGCCATCCCTGGGGACATGGCACAGGACTAGGGAGAGGGGACACAGGGTAAGTGGCCTGGGGACCTGGGGGCCTGGTGGGCTTGAGGGAGAGACAGTGACACAGAGCCCCTCCTGCTCACTGGGGACAGGGGCTCTTCCAAGAGGGGACGTGTGAGCCTCCTGGGCAGCTATGGAAAGACAAGGACAGAGGTCAGGTCCTGGCCCAGCCCATTGAGGAAGGCTCCTCACCACCTCCTCCAACCCCCCTAGGACATGCCCTGTGAGGCCAGCGGCCAGGTCTGGTGAGGGGACAGTGTGGTGAGAGGGGGCATGGTCACCTCCCTGCTGTGGCAGTAGTCACAGCTACTCAAAACCAGGGTGTGAGCGGCCAGGTCTGGGGGCTCAGAGGGTCATGGTTGGATGTGAGGTGTCCCCAAAGCTCATGAGGGAGACACTGCAGAAGGTTCAGAGGAGAAGTGAGGGTTGTGAGGACCTAAAGCCAATCAGTGAGTCCTCCCTGAGGGGGTTACCTGGGGGTCACTGAGGGAGGTGGGTGTGGCTGGAGGGGGAGGGCACTGGGGACATGGGGTGTGGCTGGAGGGGGAGGGCACTGGGGACAAGGCTCTGGGGTTATATTTGTGTCTGGCCAGTGGAGTCTCTCTGTGCTTCCTGATCCCCACGTGACCGCTTCCCTCCCCCCACCCTTCCTCCATGTGGGTAAGCCTCACCTTGGGCCCTGAGGAATGGACATCTGCCACTGTGATCCCCAAGTAAACTTTTCCTCCTCTGAAATTGTCCTGGTCGGGTCTTTAGTCAGAGGAGCACAAAGGCTGACCAACAGGAAGAGGCTTGTTGGGTGAGTGTGGCCACCACATAGTGGGAGGGGGCATGGAGTGCTGGGTGGACCCTGAGCCTTGGGCTGCTATTGAGCCACAGACCCCCTCAGGATTCCCAGGCAGGACTGGAAATCTGAGGCATGGACATTCCCAGGGCTCACAGGTCATGGCCTTAGCCAGTCACACAGCTGGCACAGTGTCACTGAGAGATGCTGTGACATGGAGTCCTCACGGGACCTCAGGACACAGGGAGACACAGAGACCACAGGTGCAGAATTTGCAGGCCACCTGCAGACATTGCCCAGACCAACCTGTTTAATGTCACCAAGTAGGTGGCTTGGCCAGGAAGGGAGGGGCTGAAGCCCGAGACCAGCTATTTCTCTATGGGATTCACTATTTTGCCACCAAAGAGGGGAAAGTTGGTGTACTCATCCCTAACGATGAGCAAGAAGGGCCTGTTGAACTGGACAGTGGGGGCCTCAAACAAGGTGTTTTCTTCCCATTTGGCATCCCCTGTGGCCACTGTCACTTCCTTGTCGAAGGTCAGCTCAGCCTTATGCAGGGCCTGGAGGGGAGAGAAGCAGAGGGCTCTGAGGTCCTGCTGCCCCACCCCAGGCTGCAGCAAGGCCCCACGTGGGAGCCTCCTACCAACAGGACCTCACCAGGGCCTTCCTGCTGGACCAGCCTGTCCTGTCCTAGGCCTCCCTGTGGGTCACTCAGGTCCCCCTAACCCCATCTCACCCTCTTCTTGACTCAGCCTGCTCCCCTCCCCCTCCTTTCCTGACCTCCATCTCTTCTGCCCTTGGATGTGACCTCAGGGGCCCAAGAGGAAGACCATAGGCCTCCGTGTCACCTCCACGTTTATCCCCTTCCCCCTGTAGGGCTAGGAGGTCCTTGGCACAGGGACACTGGTGGTGACCTTCCCAGTGCACAGATACCCAAGAGGGAGCCACCCACATGAACCTGCAGTTTCCCTTGGTCCCCTCCTGTTTTCCTGAGCAAGTGGCCCATTTGAGTGGACTCAGTAATAATTTAGATTTGCTAGATCACAAGTAGCTCTAAATGTCACAGGTGGAAGATTCCAGAACATTCTCTGAAGATACTGAGCCTAAGCCTGTCTGAGTAAATGTGGGTAAACAGAAGCCCAAGGACTCAATGGCCCTGGGAAAGGAAGAGGCCAAGGGTCAGGGGGCCCCTCAGGGGAGGTCCCTGCAAGGCCAGCTCTACCGGAGGCCACCTCCCTGGCCCTGTCCTCCTCCCCATCAGAGCTGGTGAATCTCTGCATCCTCAGGAGGACCCACCTGGCCCTTGCTGAGTCCCTTGGCCCCTCCCTCAGCCTCAGGCCTGAGCAGGCCCCCACCACTCTGGCCTGCAGACCCCTGGACCACGGCCATCCTCACCTGGGAGAGCCTCAGGGGAGCGTCCTCCGTGATCCCAGACAGGTCAGCCTCATGGCTGAAGACCTTGGTGATGCCCAGACTTCTCAGGATGGGCTTCAGATCGATGGTTCCAGAGATGGACAGTTTGGGGAAGTGTAAATTGGCTGGCCTGGTATGAAGGTGGGAAATGAGGGCGATTCACAGGGTTTCTGGCTTCTGCTGGGCCCCACGGTGCTGTGAAAGTGTTTCCTCTCCTGATTGGTTCTCCCACTCAGTGCCCTGGCCCACCCTCAGCAGAATAGGAAGTCACTGGCTTGTGTGCTTTAGCTTCCTGGACCCCTGCTGTGCTGCAGGCTTGGCTCCTGTCCCCAGGGATGGGGTGAGGCCCAGGGACTGTGCTGAGGCCACACACTGGCACCTGAGCTCAGGGACCAGTGCCAGGCTGCCTTGTGCTCTGTTCCCAGCCTGGGTGTGGTGGCTTCAGGAGGGCGGGGTGGGCCAGTGGTGGTGACCACCCAGGGGCTGTTAACCTGCAGGTTCGGGTGTCACGTCTGCCTGCAGCGCCTCCTGCATCTGCGCCAGGGCTGGGCTCATTACCGTGCCCCTGTGCCCTGCTCTGTGCCTCACGCCCCAGCTCTGTGGCTTCTGGGGCCCATGAAGCAGCCTGAGATGCGACAGAGAAACGGAGCCTGTGGGAACGTGCCCTGAGCTCCCAGCTCTGCCTGTTCCTGTTCTGGGCCTTTCCATGCAGGCACTTCCCCTGTGCACCACATCCCATCTTCCGGGAAGTCCTCTCTCATGCTGCCCTAGCCTGCAGGCCGAGGCCTTTGTCCTTGGTCCTGACACAACGTGCTGGCATTGCTGTTCATGGCCCCAGGTGGGGGGCAGGGAGCTGACCTTGGAGGGCAGTGAAGTCCTCAGGTCAGTCTCTGGGCGAACTCCCCTGTCACTCACCCTTCCCTGAGCCTGGCTCACACTGATGGGAAGCACAGCTGCTGAGCCTGTGGCACAGGGCCCTGCGCAGGGGACAGGCCCCCCCCAGCCATCATGGCAGCTCCTGTGTGGGCTCCTGGACGGGGCATCACCTGAGGTCGCTCTTTCTCAGGATATCTTCAAAGTGCTTGGGGGTCAGTTTTTTCTCCACCTGCAGCATCCTCCCTGGGTCCGGCAGGATGGCAAAGGTGGTGTCACCCAGGTAGTGCTGAACCAGCACCCAGCTGGACAGCTCCTTGTCGCGGTGCAGGAAGAAGTTGCCCAGGCAGTGGATCATGGGCACCTTGATGGTCATCTTCCTGTTCACGTGAAAGTTCTCTACGATGTGCCGCTCAGCATTGGGCTCCTCATTCCATTTGCCTGGAGGGAGGGAGGGAGGCAGGGAGGGAGGGGGTGAGATGTAGGTTGGGCACTAGGCAGCCACCAGGGTGCCCTGAGCCCCCTTCCTGTGAAGCTCCTCTCTGAGCCTCAGCTTCAGTGTCTGTCAAATGGGATGAAGATGGAAACAGGCTGCTGAAGGTTTATATGGATACAATGGAAAGCCAGAGGGGGTTTTAGGATTTGGATAGAGTCAGGCTTAATGTGAAA